TTTCCCTCCCCCCTTTATTTTCTTTGTTTCCCTTAGTTTCCCCCTACCTATCATCATAAGGCTATCCGGTTGTCTCATGCGCAATGTCCAGTTTCGCCAATTAAAAACAGAAAAAGACCATCCGTCTCCACATCTCTCTCAGGCGACCCGCCTTCGTTTTCTAGTGCAGATACATCCTCTTTTTCCCTTATTCCGTCTTAAAAACCTTCGATTTTTTTTATGGTGCAGATACATCTTTTTTTTCTATGGTGCAGATATATCTTTTTTTTTTTATGGTGCAGATCCCGGTTATTCAGAACGACCTCAGGTTCCCCCCTCAGGACATGCATACACACGAGAACTTTTCAGCATGATGTATCCGACCAAAATTACGACACGATTCACCCCAAGAATTCGCATGCCCTCAAACGCAAAAAAAAAGAAATGTTCCAGCAGAGGGATGGATGAATCGGAGCCATTTCCAAGCTCAACCACCACTCGTACCTGGCCAAAACTACAACCCAATTCGCCCCAAGCTAAAAGGTACACACACACACACCCCGTCATGGAGAACACCGTTGTGGAAACAAACACAACCTATATTTTTCTTTGCGATTTTTTCTTTCCTTCTTTTTTGCATTATTGTTCTTTGCTAAAACCTGTATTTACAAGATACTCCTTTGGGCATTTAACTCTGACGTTCCTGGCCGCAATTTCGGCGTTTTCTGAGCCGTAATCGTCAGGTCCCACTGGAGGGAACCCGGTAAGCCCTGGCAAACTGCGGCCAGGAACGTCAAACTAGCTCCAAAGGGGAACAGCATTTCCTTTTTCTTTTCTGGAATAGCGTACGCCGTTCTTAATTCCTCGCTGTTGTGTGAACTAACATTACAAATGATCGCTCTTATTATGATCACCGCCAATCCAAATGAAGACCGATTAGGTTTTCAGAGTCAGAGACGCATATAGTGAATAGTTCTGACGGCAATGTCAGCGACGAAGCAGAGAACAAAATCCGGCAATTCTTAGAATGGTTTTGATGATCTGAATCATCTCTCTCTCTCTCTCTCTCTCTCTCTCTCTCTCTCTCTCTCTCTCTCTCTCTCTCTCTCTCTCCCTCTCTCTCTCTCTCTCTCGCTCTCTCGCTCGCTCGCGCTCTCTGTGGGCGTGTGGGCGTGTCTGTGTGTGTGTGTGTGCATGTATGTAAAACACACACACGTACATACACAGGCACGCACACACATACATACCCACAAAATGAAGCACAAAAACACACATTCGCACCCATTTAAACACGTACGACACGCGCAAACATGCTATAAACATACTCATTTGCAGTCCAAAGGTGCTGTATCTATACACTTGGAGAGTACTAACTGACTTGCGGTCATACAGTACTTGCCAAAGTACACTGCCATTGAATGTTTAACGAGCATTGACATGGCATAACGCAGGTGGGTAAATTCGAAAGAAAGTTTCCATTAAGGATGCAGTAATTAAATGATCCTCTCCTCCTCCCACTCCCACCTCCACCGAGCTTTATTCCTTTCCTAGTTCAGAGAACCCCTCCGTCATACACGCACGTACGCACACACACACACACACACACACACACACACACACACACACGCGCGCGCGCACACACACACACACACGCACCAATGAGACTGTCCTTGGAAGAGGATCAGGAGAAATGCCCATTTGGATGTAGATGGTTGAGCGAGCAGGACAAGACACGCAGGCACATCCAGGAAGTGGAAAATGAGGGCTGAAAAGAAAGCTTGCCCGCGTACCAAGAAAAGCCCATGCCATATAGCACAAAAAATCAAACAATTAAAATTTTAAACAGCAACTCAAGGTGGTCAAGGTCGAGGAGAGTGAAAGAGGGTGCACATGAAGTCACTATCTACTACCAGTTCAGTGTGCTGTCTTTTCCCCCTACCTATTATCAGCCTGGGAGTGTTCTGCTAGCTGCCAGGAGTCCCTCCCTCGACTTGTCTTTCCCGTTCTTTCTCGTTGCGGTGTCTCCTAGTACATGCAGCGAGCATTCAGCGAGCCCTCCAAATTCAGCGCGCACTCAGCGCCGATCAGAGTGCATTTCAGCGGCAGCAATTTGCATCATCAGCGACGGAGGACGTTAGCGCTCTTCCTCCTTTTCTTCAACGGAGTTGTTGGACGCTCGGGTAATGCCGAATCAACGGCAACGGCAACACGCTCGCAAATGCCGCGCGCGGGCGGGGACGCGGACGCGGACGCGGACACGCGCACGCGCATTCCCGACGACATGGATGGACGAGAGAGCGGGGACGTCTCGTTCGCCTGCCTCCCCCTTCCCTCACCGCGCCAAGCAGCGGCGCGCGAGTCACCAATGCCAACCTCGAAAAACCCGAAAATTCACTTTTCGCCCCCACGTATGTGCACGCGCGCTGTCTGCTGCAACGACCGGCGGCGTACAGCACGGCAGCCAACGGGCCTCGATCCACTACTCACCACATGCACAAAAGACAAAACAAATATGGCGATTTCCCACGTTCTAGCGGACGAGTCATCGACAGTTTGGGCCTCGCCACACCACTCGCGAAATGTGCAAACGACAAAACTTTGGCGGGCGCATCTGGCCACGTTCTAGCGGGAAGTTCGTTCTCAATTCGCACATTTCGAGAGTGGTGTGTCGACGCCCTTTGCCCCCTTCGGGCCACACAGCACTGTACTGTAGTATAGAACGGACGCACTTCGCACTTCCGAATGCAAGATGGAAAAAGACGAACGTTAGTCCATCCCGACCTCACGCCCACTCACCAAATTTCGGGTCTGCCCACACGCTCTCGACGTGTGAAAACGACAAAAATGTGCTGGGTGCATCTGGCCATGTTCTACGAAGAAGATCATTCTCATTTTGCACATTTCGATTCGAGTCGAGAGTGGTGTGGCGATGCCCTTTTGCAAACATTTCGAAATGCCCCTGAAGTTTGCGTTTATTTTCGGCGTGATCGTCTGACGGCCGGCTTACCTTGTTGTGCCCCTCTGACGACGAATGATATTTCCAGAAAACCCCTGGCGTCGTTTGGGCCTGAAAAATGTTTCATATGCCCCTACCGGTACCAGTACCAAAATTTTTAGTATGCCCCTACAGGATGGCCGTTGAGAACCAGCACAAAAACTTCCCATTGCCCTTATTGGTACCGTCCATCTTTCCAGCGAGCCCCTGTGGCCGTTGTTGACACTCGCAGTCTTTCTTTCCCCTGGCCCCGGGAGAGATGCTACCGGGGCATATCAGATATTTGGCGATTGGCATGGACACACACACACAGACGCGCGCACACACACACACACACACACGCGCACACACACACACACACACACACACACACACACACACACACACACACACACGCTTGCATGGGCGATGACGCCAAGAAGACAGCCATGGTGATGGTTAGGAGGTCGACAATCGAGGAGGAGAGGGAGGGGTGACGAGAAGAAAGTTGGAGGAGGGAGGAACGAGGGAAGAGGAGGGAAGAGGAGGGAAGAGGAGGAACGAGGGAAGAGGATGGGAAGGAGTAAGGAGGACGAAGACTACGACGATGACGGAGCCGACAAGGATAGAGGATGGAGGCTGGAGGAGAAGAGAGGAGAGCGACGAGCATGGATGGAGGAGGGAGGAGGGCAATAAGCATGGATGGAGGAGGAGGGAGGAGGAGCATGGACACACGCACACACACACACACACACACACACACACACACACACACACACACACACACGCGCACGTGCATGGGCGATGACGCCAAGAAGACGCCATGGTGATGAATAGGAGGTCGACAATCGAGGAGGAGGAGAGGGAGGGGTGACAAGGAGAAAGTTGGAGGAGGGAGGAACGAGGGAAGAGGAGGGGAAGAGGAGTAGGGAGGACAAGGACTTAGACGAGGATAGAGGATGGAGGTTGGACGAGAAGAGAGGAGAGCGACGAGGACAGAGAAGGAGGAGGAGCGAGAAGGGCGATGAGCATGGACACACATGCGCGCGTGCGCACTCTCCCCTTCGCATAGTAGCCGTATGCACTCCAACGCATTAATCACTGACGCGGCGAACTCGAAAACTCACTGCTGCACCGTTTTTCGTGGCGGCGCGTGGAATGTCTACCACTTTGAATTCGAATTCCCGCCGCCATTGCTGCAAGGGCATCACATAAAGATGTGTGCCCCTCGTGAGGGCATTTCAAGGACGGATCGACGAAACGCCACCAGCGGTCCAGTAAGGGCATATCGGAAAGTTACGCCCCATGCTGACAGGGGCATGCAGAACGTTTCAGAGGCTCGAGGGGCACCACAGGGTAAGTCGACCTTCACAGGAGCACGCCGCAAATAAACGCAAACTTCGGGGCATTTTGAAAATTTCCCCTTTTTTTCTTTTTTTTCTTTAAAAAAAAAAACACAGGCCCAACATGTTTATAAGGAAATAAGGACAATATCTAGCAGCCTAGCTCAGTTGGTAAGGCACGCAAGTGGCATTCAAGAGGTTATGGGTTCAATCCCCACTGGCCTCATGTACCTTCCCGGGCAAGCTTGGCGCCCGTCACCTAGAGATATGTCGTTGATCCCCCCGAGTGGCATTGAGCAGAGACTGCTGATGTTCATAGGGGGAGGGGACCGGAGGGGAGGCAAAGTGACTGGCCCATCGAAGAAGCTCGGTCCTGATGCTACGGACTGACCCCTGGTCGGTATCGCCCACCTGCTGTAGCAGGTATTGCACCTGCTGGTGGGTGCAGCTTCCGCATGTTCCCTCGTTGGAGGCTTGAGCATGGATGTGGTTGCTACGGGGTTCCCCGTAATATTATAATGACAATAAAAAAAGCTTGAAAGGTTGTCCTGTCTAGATACAACATGTAATTGAAAAAAAATAAAAAAAATTATGAGGACAATGGGAGAAGAGACAGAAAGAGAGGGTCAACCTAGCCCTTGTGGCACTAGTAGTCGCCTAAGCAAGCGGGGGCTGCAACTTGCGAATTTTTTTCCCGTCTCCATTTTTTAATTTTTTAATTTTTTAAAACTTTAATATTTCATTTCGAATTGATGAAAAGGAGGCCGCACTAAGCATCATCCAGATTAGCTTACAGGCTGAAAGCCTGTGAATCTATGTTTACAGACTCAAAAACGCACTAAGTATTGGACCCCACACCCGCGCGGACGATTTTTTATCTTCCTACCGCCAACGACAATTTTCCTTCGCCAGTGGAGAGGCAGAGTTGGAGGGGACCCCACCCTGTCCATGTTTTTTTTACCATCCCCATGGGGTTCGGTTTTCCGGACAGAAAGTGGCAGAGGACTTTTCAATTCGGGCAAGGCATTCTAGGCGTGCGGTGAACCAGTTGTGGATCTGGGTACATGACACTATTTCACGCGGCTGTTATTGGGTGACGTTGTGTGGCGTGTAGCACCATCGGTGAGGCAGCAGCCCGCAGGAGGGTCAACTTCCGTCAGGGGACACAAGCAACCCTTTTGCGACCGCTGGTCAGGGTCGTGCTGGCCCCGTTGGTCCAACAACAGTTCGATCGTTGTCGATCTCGTCCTTTCTATCCTTTGTGGAACTGTGGGATTGCACGGTGTCGAGCGCATCGGTCCGACACTACTCAAGGGCAACGCGGGACCCTCCCGGCCTCGTCACGCAGGAGTTGGACTCTAATCCTCGTCGCGATACATTCATGGAGCTTCCGCAAAGCCGTTCCAGCCAAGCGCGCCAGCCATACCTCTCGCGAGCCCCTACGACAGGATAGGGCCTACGCGAGGCACGACTTACCTCCACCTTACGGGAGTTGTCACCTCCCTTCGGTGGGCGTATCCCCGCCGAGCTACCTGTCCACAGTACGAAAGCTGATCAACTGCAATTGCAGAGGTGGACCAGCCGAGGGCGTTTCTCGTTCGCTGTAGCATAGGGAGTACGTGCGGTACTACACCTCTAAAGGACCTGCACGCGAACCGACATCTTGGGGGGCTGAGGTCCCAAGCGCGACTCATCGCCGGTCAACTAGGACGTATCCCACACGCCACACGCACACCACTATAAGGAACATAAAAAGATACAAACACACACACACACACATATACGAAACAACACAAAGCAAACAACGCGACAACGTTCCTAGTCCCTCGGTAGCCATCCCATAACTTTCTGACGCGGAACTCAGATAGGCGTTTGCGTGCGGGACTTCGTATAAAAACCGCGCTGTCGGAGAGCCTACTCATATCGACTCGCAATGCAAACGTGCGCAAGCAATCGCAATGATGGCGTACTATGTAGTGCCCATAATCAATCGGTCCCTCGTGAATCCGAGTACCGCCTATGACACTCAAGTGTCAGACTCGAAGTATCGTGATGGTCTAATCCCTCACGATATTGCACGGCTGAAGGTATAGCCGTGCGGCCGCCGACCTCAGGCCTTCGGCTTGAGTGTCTCGGCAGGTAAGGCAAATAGGCTCTGCGCGGGGGAAAATTCCTTTCATGCAGAGCCTAAGGCTTGGGATGTCATGGACAAGGACCTTGAATCCCGGCCCAGAACCAACGTCCGACTAAGAATTTCAAAAAAATATACAATCAAAAGGCGGGGGTTCTCTGCCTACCTCAACCCCTATTTAACCCTTAATATGTTTGCCCCTTGGACCATGCGAACTTCCAACATAGGTACACACACACACATATATATATATATATATATCGTCAAATAGAACTGCCCGGTAAACCGTATATATATATATATATATCCAAGGGGATAAGTATGTGACGATCACTTCTCACAATCACAGTGGGGCTCCTCACAACCATATGTATATGCGTGATCGCATGCAGTCAAATCCAAAATCCGAACTACAGAACATACTTGCAATCACATCAACAGTTCAACAAAGTCCACGCACTACACGGAGTCAACCCCAACCGCTCTCTGTACTCATACCCCTCGCTTTAGCCATGCAAGCCCCAACCTCCAGCCAACCAACCATAATTAAATACTCAGTACCTTTGTTAAATGGTCATTCAAGAAAAATCCGAGTGAAACCTTAACAAAACAATAAAAATCACCAGGGCTAAAGCCTTTTAGGTTGAGTATTGAGGGTGAGTTGAAATTGAGTCGTAAGCCGACGAATCGACAACCGACCTGTTATCAGTGATAACAGAAGGTGATCCTCGTGGGATCAAAGCTGAATCTAGCCCA